GTGTCTGGCGCCTCCGTGTCCCTCCGACCCCTGCCCTCTGCTCAGGCTCTGGGTGGGAAGTGCCCCCAGTGCTGTGGTGCCACCCGCGCTGACGCTCCCGTTTCTGTTCCGCCGTAAGATTTGGTGCTTTTCCCTTCACCGTGGCTTTGAGTCCACGAAACATGCTCATGGCTCAGAGTCAGACCCGGAGGCAGGTCACGTGCCCTGTCACCTCCGTGTCCCTCCGACCCCTGCCCTCTGCTCAGGCTCTGGGTGGGAAGTGCCCCCAGTGCTGTGGTGCCACCCGCGCTGACGCTCCCGTTTCTGTTCCGCCGTAAGATTTGGTGCTTTTCCCTTCACCGTGGCTTTGAGTCCACGAAACATGCTCATGGCTCAGAGTCAGACCCGGAGGCAGGTCACGTGCCCTGTCACGTCCGTACACCCGGCTCCTTTTTCTTTAAACTGAAGATTTCTCCTGGCGTTTCCTCTGACTCGGCGATCGAGCGCTGGGTCTCCTCTCATTACACACGTGCAGTCCCCTGACCCAGGGCACCAGCTGCTCCCCTGGGAGGGGCCGGGCTCTCTGGGTCCTGAAACTGCAGACACTCCACAGGGCACCCCGGCACAGGCAGCCCGAGGGCAGCTGCCAGGCCAGGGGAGAGGCGTCTGTGCTGTTAGACCCCAGGTGAGGGCCCTGGTCCCGGCCAGCGGTGGTGGGAGCAGCTGTCCCCTGTTCTGAAGCAGGTGAGGGCTGGCAGCACCCGCCCCTCCTCCCGTGACCTCTGTCCACCTGCCCCTGTCCCTCCTCCCGTGACCTCTGTCCACCTGCCCCTGTCCCTCCTCCCGTGACCTCTGTCCACCTGCCCCTGTCCCTCCTCCCGTGACCTCTGTCCACCTGCCCCTGTCCCTCCTCCCGTGACCTCTGTCCACCTGCCCCTGTCCCTCCTCCCGTGACCTCTGTCCACCTGCCCCTGTCCCTCCTCCCGTGACCTCTGTCCACCTGCCCCTGTCCCTCCTCCCGTGACCTCTGTCCACCTGCCCCTGTCCCTCCTCCCGTGACCTCTGTCCACCTGCCCCTGTCCCTCCTCCCGTGACCTCTGTCCACCTGCCCCTGTCCCTCCTCCCGTGACCTCTGTCCACCTGCCCCTGTCCCTCCTCCCGTGACCTCTGTCCACCTGCCCCTGTCCCTCCTCCCGTGACCTCTGTCTACCTGCACCTGTCCCTCCTCCCATGACCTCTGTCCACCTGCACCCACTCCTCCTCCCTGTGACCTCTGACCTTCTGCATCTCTGGTGGCTCTGACATCGCGAGCAGTGGCCTCAGCTCCGCGAGCCGTGTGTGCTGTGTGTGGTGAACTTACCCACGTGCCTGACCTGCTCCGGGGTCTCGGCTGTAATAGAAAGGCGAGCGCCGCGCCCTGCTTTACCTGGGCAAGCGTGGGGGGCATCTTTCTCAGGGGTGTCGGTGGGCAGCGCCCCGCATCCGAGAGGCC